ACCCTCTTACCACCCTTTGTGGTGGTATTAATATTGTTCTGTTCGCTATGATTGCGGTGTCCTTGGTGGTGTTCTTACTCTTCGTCTAAATCTTATCGGAATACATAAATTTTGACAGTGAAAATTTGATGTAGAAGAAAGAAATGAGAGGTAGAGGATGTCACACCCAGCATACCAGAAATTTATACACAAAAAATTCGTATATATATGCAAATAAAAGAACAAAATAGGGAACAATGTGACGACCCTAATTTTTCAAGTCAGTGCGTCTTGTGATGAACCAAAATTTGACCCGATAACAGATCCGAATGCGGAAGCAAAAACAGAAACCAAGTCCCTAGAGATACAATGCACCTCCAAGATGCCAAAATGACCTTCCATGAGGGCACGGAACTCCACGAGAACCAACCCAGAAGAAAAAGGTCAAAAAAAGACCAAAGAAGCCCCCAAGGGAAAAATCATCTTTTTACACGAAAGCAACGTCTCTTAAAATGTTTGTCATTCCCAAGACACATCTGTGACTCCCCATGAAATCACGGAACTAAAATAAAAAACATAACAGAACCAATTTAAAAAGAAAATTGGACAAATTTAGCCCCAAGGGCAAACTGGTAATTTTTCAGAGAGATTTGGGTGGTACCGAGTACACCATTGGATAGATGGTGAAAAATTAATAAATTTCAAAAAAATATTCATCTCATTCGGAGTCCGGACAAGGGAGAACAGACCCGGAGAAGAAACGGCATCACGGCGGCCTAAGGCATCAGGCCAGCATGCCCATGCGCGCGCGCTGGTGTGTGACGCGCGCGAGCGATGCCTGCCGCTCGAGCAAGGAGGAGCGCGCAGCGCATGCGTACGGCACATGGCTTAACAGTAAAAGTGCTGAAGCCTATTTTTTATTTTTATTTTCCAGAACTGAGAGTTATTTTGAGGCCTTAAACGAATTTTTTTGCAAAAACAAACCTCATTCTACCCGACCATATTGAAAGAAAAATTTAAAACTGGCTATGAAATGCCCAGAATACCCCTGGATCAGTTTAGGTCAAAAACGATGAAAATACAACTTTGCACCAAGTACTCATTTGACCTTAAATGCATTTCTAGGCTAAAACGATTATGCACGCAAACGTAATTAGTGTTTCTAAGCGCGCGGGATTGGTCCGCGGCTTCTAAAAATGACCGATGCAAAATACGACCTATCCAAATCTCAAAAATGCTTAAAATGGACTTTTAAAAGAAATTTTGAAACTTAAAAACGTAAAATGGTTTCAAAAGACCGTTTAGCCCTTAGCCACACTTCATACATAAATGAAAAGACCCTATGGAAGTGCTAAAGCCCACTTTCCACCACCCATGCAAATGTAGTGAGGTTAAAATATGCCATTTTTCTATTTTTTTTTTAATAAAATCACATAAAAACAAAAGTACTTAGAATACCAAATGAAAGTCCTTGGCCTATGGCCTCATTACATATATGTCAAATACATCATAAAAGGTGTACTTATGTACACATTACATATTTAGAACCAAATATACAAGTTTTGACATATAAAGCTACAAATAGCATTTCATGCCAACATTTGCATGAATTATGAACTTCAAATCTACAAATCATCCAAGCATAATGTGGATCCCCAAATCTTGATTCATGTACCTGAAAAATGTCTCGTGTGTGAGTAATATAAAGCTACTCGTAGGAGATGAGTATGCAAAGACCTAAGGTTTTACAAACTTATGAAGTTGTTATAATTTAATTCAAACAGTCATGCCACCTAACGTCTATGTTAAAGGTGACACTCAGGGAGCATCCTAAGCTACCTTAGATCATTTCTAATATAAATCGCATCATTCATGTAATTCAAACAATACAGGAGCATGTTATACAAAGTAACAAGATATAGATTCTCAAAGTCATCAACTTGAAATCTAAAATACGAAATCATCTAAAGTGGTACATGCCACTTAGCGTCTATGTTCCAAAGCGAACTAAGGGATCATCTCAACTATTTAAATGGTTTAAATGAAATACAAAATACACAAGTCTCTAAAACAATTTTAGAACTTTAAATACCAAAATCACAAGTCACAATTAAGCATTGGTTACCAACTTGTAATAAAAAGAGAAATTAAATAGCGGAATATCTTGGACATCGAATCCCGGAATAAAACCAAGACGTGGCAGTTGATCGGGCTACTAACCCACGGGAACAGCCCAAGTGCGCACCAGACGTCAACAGTTACTTCGGGCTACTAACCCCCAGGAACAACTCAAGTGCCCAGTACATTTGTAGAGGGAACTCTCATCCCCCTTACTAGAAACTTGCCCTAGCCATATCAAATTGTGTGATGTCCCAAGTGTTTCCAAAATAAGTTCAAAACTTATACAAAATTAAATAATGCATAGAAACCGCCATCACGCATAAGTAGAGATGAAACCACATAAGTCATGTCATAGAGTTTCAAATCTACAATGACATTTAAAATGTCGAATCTTCAATATGCGATTCGTTACACGCTGTACCAATATTGTTCCAATATCGAAAACATAATCTCATGAATATAATACAAGTCTAAAATCATGATTTAAACATTCAATCAACGTCAAATGCATGATTAAGTCACTAATACAATAGAATCAGAAATTAATTACATAACCTAATTAATTTTCCTAAATTTCAATCTCATCCAAATAAACCCTAATTAATATATGTTAAACAACATAACATGATCATTACATATATCAACTCAAAAACTTAATTAAAACTCTAAACTTTAAAACTCATCCAAATGCTCTCAAATTAAGCTATGTTAAGGAACATGTCAAGGCTTAATTTAACATCACATTACAAGTTACTTCTATACAAGATACAACCATGAGAATTAAACTTTCATTCAAGAAAATAATTAAATAAAAGTTTCAAAACCTATTCAAATATTCTCCATTTAACTCATATGAAAGAACATAGCATGGTCATCAAGAATATCAAGTTAAAAATTCAATTAAGTGATTAGAACACTTAAAATAAAATTAATTAATCTAATTAATTAATTTTCTCTAGATTTCAAAACAATTCCAAATATTCTCAAATTCACATATGTTAAAGAACATACTAAGGCCTAATTTAATATCACAATACAAGTTGATTCCATGCTAGTTACAACCATTTTAATTAAATTTTCATTTAAGAAAATAATTAAATAAAAGTTTCAATACTTATTCAAATACTCCCAATTTAATATATGATAATGAATATATCAAGACCTAATTTAATAACATGCCACAATTTAATTCCAAGCTATATTCTTATACAAAGAAAATAATTAAATTAAATTCTAGATAAAATACATAGGTATACATACAAATTGTATAAGCTTATAAAACAATCAATACAACAATTATATAAGCCTAAGGCATTCCCTACCTCACTTTGAGATGAAATCTCAAATCCCCACCGAAAGAAAACCGCTCCGAATCCGACGATACTTCTAGGTTTTGTCGGGGACAATGAGGGAAACAACAATAACCCTTGAGGTACCACCAAAATCCAAACCCGAACTCGAAATTCAAACTCGAAATCCGAACTCAAAAATGGTCGAAATCGGCTTCTAATAAGGGGGAAAGAACTGTCTCGCCAAGGTCTACGATAAACGCTAAGGCACTACGGCAAAATTCAAGAGGGAAGTGGCAGAAAAAAGAAGAAAGAAGGTGGCTTGGGCTGCCACGGTTGCCAGCTAAGAGGGGAAAGAGATGAGAAGAATATGAATTTTCATTTACTAACCCCATATTAAAAATAAAAATAAAAATAAAACCCTAAAAGTGCCCCGAACGGGCCCCACCGGGTTCAGAAAAGTGGAATCTGCACAGACGCGCTCAAACGGTAAAACACCGTGAATGAAAAAGAACCAAAATGAAAAAAAAAAAAAAAAAAAAAAATGAACAACGGAAGAAATAATGTCAAAAATTGAGTCCCGTACAGAAAGATATGCCCCGAACAAATTCGGCGGCAACCGGGGCCGAAAACCCTAACACTAGAAAAAAACGACCAGGAAGAAGTTCTAAGAGTTTACAACTCGACAAAATGTGAAAATGAATCCCGTACAAGGATTCAAGCTCAAAATGAGGCACTTTGCAATAACTTTCGTTAATTGCACAATGGCCCCTCTAGGAAAGGATAATTGCAAAACTGACCCAGAATGAAAATATCTTCCAAAAGATATTTTCTTAAAAATCCCTAATCAAAATATCTTCAAAAGATAATTACGAAAAATACTCCACGAAATATTAATATTTCTGAACAATCCTTTCATCCATACCCCTACGAGAGAAAGAAACAACTGGCGAACTTTTCTCCAAAAGTAAAATTACGCGTTTCGAGGAGATAAACTGGAATGAAAACTCATGAAGTCAAAACTCAACTCCAAACACGGAAATTGAGGTTGTGCCAACAAAGTGACAAATAGAAAAAAGACGAAAAGTGAATAGTGTCCAAAAAATGAAAATGTAGAAATAATTCGATCCTTAGAGGAAGTTGTTAATTCAAAGGAAAGATTTTCGGAAACCATTGACGACACTAAGTGACGAGAAACCAAACTCGGAAAGAAAGATCAACGGAAAAAAAAATTATCCGTAAAATTTGAGAAAAATGAAAAGAAAAAAAATGACAGGGAGAAAAATGACAGGGTCATTACAAACAAATAATAATTTATTGATTTATGAAATTGAGTATAATCCTACGAAGTATGCTTTATAAAAGAAAAAAAATATCTTGTGATTCGATCTTCTTTGTTGGTTGAATTCAAGATCGGTTAACAATCTTCTTCAATTTGTATTTAAGAAAAACGGCCAATAATTTTTGATCAAGTGCCGACGAAGCTTGATCTTGAAGTGTTGTTTTTATTAAGGAAATTGACAAATGACAGCACTTTGGTCACTGAGTTCACTTGTTACGTTTTATATCTATTAAACATTATAAGACAGTCAAATTATAAAAAATAAAAAATAAATAAAAAAATTCATTCATTGAGTTGATCCAATTTTTTTGAACATGGAATTTTACTTGAAACAATGACACCTACCAAACAATTAATGGCGGTTCCACTTCAATTCTTTCTCAACCAACCCCAACCAAATTAATAATATCCCGGCCACAAGACAGAAAGAAAAAGAAAGGGTAAAAACAATTCAAATCTAAACCGGTTGGTTTCGATTTGGTTTAGAATTCAGATCCTTTGCACCTTATCAGCCTTCACCACCGGATTAGCCTGTGCAATGGCGTCTCGTCCCGCACCCTTGTAATCGAAGGGGCATTCGTGCTTTTCTGGGTACCTGTGGGTCCCACAGAACGTGCTCCCGCACTTGCACGCGAACCCCAACACCCCTACCTTCTTCCTGCAACTCCAGCACCTGTTCGACGGCACCTTCGGGGCCTCCGTCTGGTGATCAATGCCAACAGTCGGCACAACCAACAGTGCTGATGATGATGATTCGGTCGACGAAGATGGCCCCACACGGACCTCTCCCGAAAAGACCGTCTGATTCTGATTATTCACCAGTTTGTCCATGGCTACTATAGCCGAAGCCGCCTGCTCTTCCTTGGCGCGGAAGTCTCTGAAACACTTGGAGCAGAGGTTCATAGTCGCTGCGTTACCGAAGAAGCCACAGCCGTTGGCGCATGGAGCCGGCTCCGATGGTTGAAAACTAGTGCCATCGTCCATCTTGTTCCAGCTATCTTCAGAACCCATATATTATCCTTCTTTTCCTTCAAATTCAGAAAAATAGGGTTATGGTTTTACCAGGTCAGAGAGAAGATTACTCCAAGTCTTGCGCGTTCTTGAATTGAATCTAAAAACTGTGACGCTTGCGCTTGTTTATAATAAATGATGGATTTGTTGGTCAAAGTCCTTCCTTTATAAGGACGGTGGAGTTCTAGTTTTACTAATATACCCCTCCTCCAAGTACTTTTAGGTTTTCCTAGTTCCTTCCAGAAAACCGACGCGTTGAACCAACGCTTACAAAATCCAACTTGCCAAACAAGACACTTCATTTCCAAACTCCAGTCATGTTAATATAGGGTAATCCAATTATCAGGATAAAATTTATCAAAGTGGAAGAAAGTGTTGAAGATTGGGGCTGCAATACTGTTGAATGTGACTTGTTTGGCTACTGGGATTCCAATTCAAATTCCAATTGTCATTGATCATTGCATGCAGTTGTACGGATTTATTCGGGCTATTAGGTGTTATCTGGTTGTACGTTCATCAATGGTTTTTAGTTTCCGGTTGTATGTATGTTTTTAGTATAATGATAAGTGTACTGTAACTGGTATTCTTGTGATCAGTTTAATCGGTATTTTCTTTTATGGTTCATATTCTAGATTGGAGAGTTGTAGACATGAAAGCGTAAGCATTGACGGGATTCCCTTCTCTTTTTTTTGTCTATTTCGAGGGGAAGGTCCGGTTGAGTACTTGTTAATAATCATAATATATTTTTCATAATTATGCTAAAAAGGATTTTTTTTTTTTTTTTTTCTGATGATATTTCAAAAAACTCTATTCCAGCCTTTTCTGATGTGATGATTTATTTTTTTTTTTCAAATGAACTTCATTGATTGATTCACAAACCCGGCCAGGTTTTCAATAGTGTCGACATTGTCAAAGTTAGATGTAGCAACGACTCCTTCCGATTTTCTGAATGACATAATCTATATTTCTGTAAATTAAATATCAAGCAAATCCTTTCGATACTAATCGAAGCTTACTCTTACTCTTTATTTTCTTTTAGTCTGAGAGTCGGATGTATATATAACAGTTTCATGTGAGTGGGAGATTGCATAATCATGACGGGCACACAAAAGAACCGTGGAACCGTGAGAATCGAACCGAACCGAACCGTGAGCTTCGGTTCAGGTTCTCACTGTTCTGGTTCCAGTCCCGGTTCCTAATTTAGGAATCGTGGATGTACGATTACAGTTCCGGTTCCAACCCGTGGGAACCAGTAAGAACCGGAACGATATATATATATATATATATATATATATATATATATATATATATATATGATTTTATATTTAACTATATACTAAAGAGTCAGTAACTAAACAATCTAAATAGTCTAAAAGTAATTAAACTCTACACTCATCAGGCCACCGAGCCACGTGGTCCACAAAAGAAAAAGTGAAAAACATATACTTTTTTGCTCTAAACATATCATTCAGTCCTCGCCTCCTCTCATATAAACCTAAACCTAAGGCCCTTGCCAATCGCTTCCTCTCAAGTCTTATCACCCTCGCTTCCTCTCAAGTCTCATCTCAAGCCTCCTCTTCCTCGTCGATTCAGTCCTCACTCCTCATCCTCTCATCTTCAATTCTTCAGATCTTCTTATCAGTCATTCATCCTCACTCCTCATCCTCTCATCTGAAATGATATGCCAATATGGGTTTTCAACTTTTAATTCTTGCAGACAGATAGATAAACTAAAATAAATGGGTTTTTGAACTTCTGATTCTTGTAGATCAAATAGTTTACAGTTGCAAAGAGAGAGGGGGGCAAGTTCAGTGAGAACGAGAATAGAGATGGAGGCGATTGGGCAGGCTGAAATGATTTGTGAGTTGATTCTCATGGAACCGAACCTGTATTCACGGTTCGGTTCGGTTCCATACCAATACGATTCCGATTTTAAGGAATCGTTGTGAACGGTTTCGGTTCCAATTTCGACCGGAATCGTAGGGAACCGAACCATGTGCACCCTAACGTGCATCATTCTCCACTCATATAAATTTAGTCAAATGTGTCTGAAGGGGTAGAAAATCCACCAGGCCGAATGCGGCCTAACCCACTGTCTCAATTAAGTAACCCAGATGAAAAGGGGCGTCTCAATTAAGTAGTCGGCTGGATTGACCATGGGCCGGACCAACAAAACCAAGGAGTATTCCCAGTTTAGGGTTAGTCTAACAGAGGGAACCCCAAGCCCATGCCAATGCCAAAGGCCTAGGGGACGACCAGGCCTCTATTGGCTCGACCCACTCAACCTTAGTCACAGTAAGGCCAATGCTATGCCTGACTCCACTTGCATTCCATGCAGGCCTTACAACCATCATGGCCCGAGAAGGAAACCGAGTTCAGAAAAGGCCCAAGCCTAAGAGCCAAGAGAGGAATTTTAGGGCAAATGTAAACTTCTATAAATAGAAGTTAGAGAGAGAATGGAAAGAGGATTGTTTGGAGTGTAAGAAAATTCTTTCCTAATTTAAAGAACTATTTTTTGCATCTTTATTTGGCGCTGTCTGTGGGAATGAAGGAAAGATCCATCGATTTCAGTAATGAATGACACAACTCCGATCAGGAACCATGATCAGAAAAGAAGGATCTCGCCAATAGGAAGAGGACCAACATGTGAGGCATGATGAGCTGATGGAGGTCATTGAAATTTTGTGACGGGAGAATGTCGAGCTCAGATCCAGTATAAAACGAAGGGACGCATCGCCACTTCCTCGCCCATCGGCAACAGATTAGAGAGTGGAGCCAACAAACGTCAACCGGAGGGCAGAAAAGGTAAGATCCATCCATATAGACCTGCAACTCAGCAGGCTCGAACCAGAAGAGGAAATGGAATACGTCGAGGCTATTCCTTCATGGCAAAAGGAATTGACTGCAGACAAGGTATTCGAAGATTTACGTCAATCAGAGGTGAACACTTACGATCAAAGGGCCATCGGCAAGCAACGACCTAAACAGAAGGCACCTTCGATGAACAACGAAGTCGCCCGGTTGTTCGACGAGACAGTTGATTCTCCCTTCACGGAAGAGATACTACGATCCCCAAAGCCTGAAAAATTCTCAATGCCGACGTTCAACCTGTTTGATGGAACTAAGGGTCCAACCAAGCACGTCTACCAAACCCAGCCAAAAATGATGTTAGACACTAAGGATGTTGCCCTGACGTGCAGAGTCCTCCTAGCGAGTCTTATCGGATTAACACTCAACCAAGTCAAGCACCGATCGAGGGGATCGAGCAGAAAGGTTCGGGCGCTCTACGACCTATTCATAGTTCAGTATCCCAGTAAAATGACTTTATCAATTAAGTTTTCGTTGTCTAATCTTTTCCTTCAAGGGTATATTTACACAAATGTAAGATGATCGAGCAGTAAAGAAGACTTTTAAAAAAATTGGAACATAGCATATCAAAGTGGCAAGTGGCATCATTAGCCGACCGCCAAGCGTTTGACCAAGTTTATGGCAAGTGGCACAATGAGCCGATCGCCAAACATTTGTAAAAATTTATCAAACTAGTGGTCAATGACATCAATTAGCCGACCACCAAGTATTTGATCAAGTTAGTGGTAAGTGGCACTATGAGCCGTTTGCCAAACACTTGTAAAATTTATCAAACTGGTGGCATCACTAGCCGACCGCCAAGCGTTTTACTAAGTTAGTGGCAAGTGGCACAATAAGCCAATCACCAAACACTTGTAAAAATTTATCAAACTAGTGGCCAATGGTATCAATTAGCCGACCAGTGCACACTGATATTGGGAATTTTTTCTCTCTTTTTTTTCTTGTTTAACAGTGTTGGTACGAAAAAAAAAAATTAAAAACAGTGAACTGAAATCTCAAAAAATTCAAATCATTGTTCTATAAAAAAAAAGTTTAGAGATATATATAGAGAAAAAATTTTCAAAAAAAAAAAAAAATATATATATATATATATATATATATAAGGTAATGTGCACCTAACACCCCATATACTATGATATTAGTAGCATATATACCCCTTCGGTATTTTTGGAAGAGTAAAAATGCAAAATAAGTATTACATCACTAATTTATGATAAAGAACGACAACCTAATATGCACTAAGTTCAATGGCAACAATTAAAAGAAAATTTTAAAGTAAAGAAATAAAATATCAAAAGCTCACAGAAGGTCCTGAAACCGTACGTAGCTTCGTTTCCATAAGCTTCTTTGCCCTTGCTCCTAAATTCTTGCACTTGAAAAAGAAAAAGAAATAAGATGAGATAATAGAGATTCCTAAATTACAAATTAAAGTAGAATTAATTTTTAACTTAACAAAATCCGTTACATAGTGTAATGATCCGGTCATTTTCCTTTCTTTCATTTTCTCAGATTCTTACGGATATTTTTTTTTCCATTGATCTTTTCTTTTCTAAGTTCGGCTTCTCGTCACTTAGTGTCATCTTGGTGCTCGGGGATGATTTTCAAGACTCTTTTCCTTGGATTGACGATTTCTTTTGAGGACCGAGTCATTTTCACATTTTCACTTTTGTGACACTATTCACTTTTCGTCTTTTTCCCGTTTGTCATTTTGTTGGCACAACCTCACTTTTCGTGTTTAGATTTGATTCCGGTTTTGCATGCATCCACGATATTTAAATTCCATGCTATGTGAATTTTTACTTTTATAGAAAAACATGCAAGTTATATACTTTCTTCCTTACGGGTGTGGATGCACACTTTTTTTAAAATTTTCTTTCTTTTAAGGTCATTTGTGTAATTACTATAAATAATTATTTTTCATTTTAGGGACCATTTTACAATTTAATTTGGGAGATATTTTCAAAAAGGACCTTTTGCAATTTTCGAAAAGTGTGACAAGTGTCACACTCTCATTGGTCCACTTGTTGACATTTGTGTGAGGACACTTTGATGCCTTGAATGATGACATGTGGATGGTGTAGATTCAACCACTTGTTGACCTTAGGATAGGTGCACTTGTTGGCTTGGATAGTTGACAAATGTAGGCTTAGGATTAAGCCTACAATGGATGCTTGGATGAGTGACAAGTGTATGCTTCAAATTAAGTCTTGCAATTATTTTTGGGCTACTTTGGAATTATGTTGTTAAAGAAGA